TAAAAAGTTAAAACTAAATAGATGGTTATTAAAATATATCCTCTTTATAATAAGTATAGATAATAAAATTTAAATAAATAAATATATTTAATAAAAATATTTTTATAAAAATATATTTATATATAAAAAGTATACTATCGTAATTAAACGTTCTAAAATTAAATTTCGGCTTGTTATTGAAATACCATTTAAAAAAATGTACATAATACAATAAATAATTTCTGTATGTTGTTGGTGAAAAAAAAAATTATACACAAAAGACAAGGATGTCTGTTCGGAATCACGTGGTACTCATGTCATGTTGATCTACAATATCATTTTTAAATATTTTTCTAATAATTTTTTGTATTTTAATCAACATTTATATCCTTTGATTTATATTTTGTTATTTATGAATTAAAATGTAATATTTTTAAGAAAAGTAAAAAGCAATTAAATAATATTCACCACAATGTAAATTATAAATTATTATTATAAATTTAAAATATAATTTATATGATAAATTTTAAATATTTATTTATTATAAATTTTTATATAAAATAAAAATGTCTATCATGCCTTATACATACTTAAAATACTATTTTTTTATTATAAAAGTAAAAACAATCTATTTTTGTAAGGTTCAATCCTTGATTTTTTATTAGATATTTAAATTAAAAATATTTATAATTAAGTTATAATTTTTATAATTAGATACCAAACACTCTAACTTTAGGATTGTGAAGTTATCTTTAATGATTTAAAGATTCAATTAAGAAAAAAATAACAAAATTTATATCGATTTAAAAGTTCAAAAAAAAAGAGAGATTTTTGTGTTTTATTCTTGTCTGTGTGTGTAAAATTTTTAAGTTATTGACATAATATAATCTATAATCTATATATCTATACATATTATAAAAGAAATACTATGTGTATATAATCGCTTTTGATCTCCACTTTTTAGTGGACTTTTATATTTCTCAAATATAAAAAAAAAAATGTTCCTCTAGTAATATATAAAGAAGATACAGAGTTTTAGTTTTCACTTTTCAAGAGTCAATTTTACCATTTAATATCATAATCATCTCTTATGATTACTTTATTATTTAATTCTAAAAATGACTTTAACTTAAATTTTAGTTTTTGCTCACCAAAATTCTATCATGGTAAATCAACCAGAATTTTTCCTCTATAATGATAAATGATTATTTTTCTATCTTAATATTTTATCTTTTTACTTTTGATTATTTATCATTTATATTCTATTTTAGTTATTTTATATTTTATTTTTTATTTAACTAAAATATATAAAGACATGAAATATTTCAATCACATTAATAATAAATTAAACCTTTAACTTAATACTCTAAAAAAAACCTTTAACTTAGTAAAATAAAAAATATTTGTGATAAATCAAAAATATTAAAAAAATAAAATTTTAACAATTTTACTAGTCATAAGGATCTATTAAAAAAATATATAGAAAAGCAGGAACTCAATTATAATTTCTTAAATGTTTAATAACATTTGCATTATTTGTGTAATTTTTTATATTTGTTAACTAATTAAATTATTATTGATATGATTTTTAAAATAATTATGTAAGCTTATATCATGTAATGTGTTATGATGATTTATTGTGATTAGATAATGAGAAAAAATTATTTTAATCTATAACTTATTTTTTATTTTTTTTAAATTTAAGAATAATTATACTTTTTAATAATTATATGTCAATTAATATATATTTTTTCTAAACTCAAATATAAGTAATTTTTTTATAAATAATAAAAATAAAATATAAAAAACTTATTTTATTTTATTTTGTTTTATGTTATGTTATGATATAATATAAA